AGTAGGGAAGACATGGAGTAGGGTAGACATTGAGTAGGGCATACATTGATATGTAGGGCATACATTGATATGTAGAGCATACATTGATGAGTAGGGTAGACATTGAGTAGAGCATACATTGATATGTAGAGCATACATTGATGAGTAGGGTAGACATTGAGTAGAGCATACATTGATATGTAGGGCATACATTGATGAGTAGAGCATACAATGATGAGTAGGGCTTACACTCAATATCGCATACATTGATGAGCAGGGCATACATTTGTTGTCATACCAATTTCAAAGAATTTTGAACTAGTAGTATAGAAATATAGATGACGAAACACGAAAATAAGATACAATTTTAATTGGATTGGTTAAATTTTCCAATATTTGTCCTTTTTATTTATTCTTTGTACATCACAGCAATTACATGTTAAATCATGGCTATATATAGTAATTTAAGTCGAAATTCTGAATTTTTAAGGCAAAGAATAAAACATGACAGTTACCTGCTTAAAGATAACAAAATTTTGTGATGTGTACTGTTTAAAAGTAGCGGAGACGATTGTATTAAGCTCGATGCTAAACAACCATTCTGTACTCGTGTATGACCCTAGTCGATCTATGTCATTATCAAGCCGAACACCCACGTTCTTCAATGTTCCATCACCAGTAGAGAAGGTTTTACCAAAAGCATTGAACACAATCGGTGCACTGTTCAGCCATGTTGAAGTGTCGCTGATACCAATTTGATAACTGAACGATGATTGGTTTAATCTCAGGTTAAGATACCGGGGTGGTGTCGAACTCTCAAACTTTAGAGGTCCTGAAAGTCGGGAATAATAATTAATATAATGATGAATCATGAATAAATTTTATAGGGTTTTATGGCAGCCGAGGCCTGGACCATGTACGTGGACGTTTCATATTCAGATTTGCTTAATTACATAATATCGACTAGAGAGAGAGAGAGAGGGAAATGGGGTTTAACGTCCACTCGACACAAACTAGGTCATTTCGGGACTAACACATGGTTCAATTTTATTTCAATAATTCGCTTGCGCGTAGGGGTCTTTAGCAGTGGGAGAAAACCGGAGGACGCAGAGAAAACCCACGAGGTTGGACAGGCGACCTTACTCCTTGTCACGTACAACCAGGGAATCGAAACCCCGCCAGTTGACTCAATGACAGACCGTATGATACAGCACAGCGCACACGTGCTCACCATTCGCCCCCCCCCCCCCTAATATAGTACAAATTTTACCTTTTAAATATAAACGATCTGGTTAAATTGTGTGCCTTAAATATTTAATTAAATTTGTTTTTCCTGCGTGGTTTCCCCTTGTCAGTGGTGCAGGGCGGAGGGCATGAGAGGTCCCGTGTATACATTGGCATGCACGTAAAAGATCCCTTGACAGTTGGAATTCGATATAAGAGTAGGTCGTAGCACCGCTGTCAAGCAAAATTTCCCTCATAACACACTGTATGGCGTATGCCCGTCTTCACTAGCACAGTCGAAGCAGAACAGTAGGACGTTAAACCCCATTTCATACCATTTTCACTTCTTAAATTTTTGGCCCTGCCATTACCTAATGTTAGACAAAATTTCCATTTCACACTATAATTGAGAGAGAGATGGGGTTTAACGTCCAATCGACACACATTAGGTCATTACGGGACTAACATATGGTTTGATTTTATTTCAATGATTCGCTTGCGCGTAGAGGTCTTTAGCAGTGGGAGGAAACCGGAGAAAACCCACGAGGTTGGATAGGCGACCCTACTCCTTGTCACGTACAGCCAGGTAATCGAAACCACGCCAGTTGACTCAATGACAGACTTTATGATACAGCGCGCTCACGCTAACCATTTAGCCCCCCCCCCCCCCACACACACACACTATAATTGAAACAGAATCTATCTTTTATATCCAAACAAAATACATCTTGGTGATTACAATAATATGTGCAACAAAATGTTTTTAAAGAATTTGATGTACTACTTTTTTCTTAATAAACACGGGGTCGATTTGATATAAATGTGTGTAAAGATAAGATAAAATTTTGAGATCTAGATTACAATAAATATATATAGCTGTTGGGATACGTTAGTGATTTAATCAATTATGGGATGAAAATATTATTCTTATGAAAATATTATTCTTTTGTAAGAATAGTATGATTTATTGCTAGTATAATAGTGCCTTTCCCAAGAAAAATTGCATATTTCCAGAGAGAGAGAGTGAGAGAGAGAGAAATGGGGTTTAACGTCCACTCGACACAAACTGGGTCATTTTGGGACTAACATATGGTTCAATTTTATTTCAGTAATTCGCTTGCGCGTAGGAGAAAACCCACGAGGTTGGACAGGTGATCCTACTCCTTGTCAGGTACAACCGGGGAATCGAAACCCCGCCAGTTGACTCAATGACAGGCCTTATTATACAGCGCGCACGTGCTAACCATCGTCCATCCAACCCCCTTTGGCTATAGAGAATGACATACTGGCAACCTAGAGAATGTAAATACATGTATGTCAATCAGATTAAAATACAGATCTATATTTCGTTTCGTATTTTTATACTTTCGATGGCCTCTACTACATGAAGATCTGACCAGTAGTAGTGAGGGGTCACGTCAGTTGTCATACGTGCGGCCTTTGACCCTATGACGTCAGACATTTGATTAACCGATCAACGTTGAAGTTTCTAGAACTCGCTGCAGCAGACCGTTTTATAGACTAATCCCTCACATCAACTTGAAAGCGGGTTATATAACACCACACTGATCAGCAGTGAATATTCGCTAGGCCGCTACAATCATTGATAAGGATGACATCAATGCGACTTAATGAGTCTCAAATATTAACTTTTTTCCACCGACAAATTAAATTCTAAAACGTATTTGTAGGTAGAAATTATTTCCTATTTAGTGTCAATGGGTATTAAAATGACTTAAAGGCAGCATTCTGCCCCAAGCAGTAACGTTTTGTGTAAGCAATGTACGCGCCATTCAGCCAATGATTGACGCCGCGTGCTGTGACGGCACGAGTTAAAGGTAGTCGTCTTTTACAGAGATATTAGAGAAGACTCGTAATTCTCTGTGAAACAGATTGATATAAAACCTCTTCCAGATCCTTGTGTAGTCAAGACAAGTTAAACAAAATTTTGAACTATAAAAAGGCGAAACGAAATAGGATCTGTGTTTTAATCATATTTGTCAATATGACTTACCTGCCTGGGAATATGTAAGTAACAAGAGAGCTAGTATCGTACTACAGATCATGTTGATATAATGGAGTACTCGGTATATCTCTGTTATCTTCTGATATCACACGATGACGGTCATAAAAAAAAACATATCCAAGTCACAGTGATACTTCAGATTTTTGTCAACGTCGCTGTAAATAAGGTCAGGGCATGTGATTGTTGGCGAGATGTAGTAAATAATACCCTACTACGAGGTTGATATTAGAAATATCCCGAGACCGAAGGTCGAGGGCTATTTCTAATATCGAACCGAGGGTTAGTGGGGTATTATTTGACATACGCATTGACATCAATTCTATGACAAAGTATTCAGCATACCCCCTAATAGCAACATATACATGTCCATATCATCCCGTGTTGTTTTAGCATGAGGTAGGGCTACGTCACTGCTGGAATGAGTATACTAATAGTGAACTGTTGTCCACCACTGCTCAAAATACACCTGCGTTATTTTAGTCATACATTGACCAGTTCACCAGAAAACGCTGCACCAAAAAATACTTTAAGGCGTAATAAGTTGACGTTTCATACATTTCAAGCATGGTCAATATGGCGGAATAATCACCATAATGATGAAGAAAGGAAAATAACTAAGGATTTTGAACTAATGGACAATAGGGATTTAAACTTTTGGTTAAAACACTTCGTGGTTGAAGTTAGAAAAAAGGATGGCGAGAAATACCCACCGAATTCTGTAAGCATTAGGGCTAGGTCCAGGGTTTGGGTTAGGGTTAGGGTTGGAAATAGCGCTAGCTCTGTTTACATCTCGTGACCTTCGGCCTTATCAATTAGATCTAACCCAGTTAAAGGGACAATAACACTCAACTAAATGATTTGAAAAGCCTTACGTAAAGCTTTTCAAATGTGACTTGGATTTAAAAATATTTTCGAACCCTCTGAACAAGTAAAATAGGATTTAATGGATAATTTACACTACAGGTAGGATACTTAAACATCTAATACTTAGAATAAGGCTATTATTTATTTTCTGGTGTTGTCAAGTCAGCAAGAGTGTTATTGTCCCTTTAATTGATTCAAAAAATATTTTTAAAAACATGTGGTTTGGTGAAGAACCTGACACTGACAAAAAGATTGTTTATTTTATTCAAAGCTAATTATAACATGCGAGTATATAAATAACATGTACAGGCATATAATATAACATATACAGGCATATAATATAACATGTACAGGCATATAATATAACATGTACAGGCATATAATATAACATGTACAGGCATATAATATAACATGTACAAGCATTTAATATAACATGTACAGGCATATAATATAACATATACAGGCATATAATATAACATATACAGGCATATAATATAACATGTACAGGCATATAATATAACATATACAGGCATATAATATAACATGTACAGGCATATAATATAACATGTACAGGCATATAATATAACATGTACAGGCATATAATATAACATATACAGGCATATAATATAACATGTACAGGCATATAATATAACATGTACAGGCATATAATATAACATGTACAGACATATAACATAACATGTACAGGCATATAATATAACATGTACAGGCATATAATATAACATGTACAAGCATTTAATATAACATGTACAGGCATATAATATAACATATACAGGCATATAATATAACATATACAGGCATATAATATAACATGTACAGGCATATAATATAACATGTACAGGCATATAATATAACATGTACAGACATATAACATAACATGTACAGGCATATAATATAACATTTCATGTTCATGTTATTATAATGACCAATCAGTTTCACAAGGGATACACAATAAATGATACAAAAATGGATTCAAATTAAAAAAGGGGTCTTAAAATCATCAACAAGGGCTCATGGTAAGAGAGTTTCTTTTGTCAATTTTCCCCAATGGATTGCAAAAAGTGACCGACAAGGAAATATATGCATGTTCCACACATATATCCAAAATTTAAATTATTTCGTAAAAAAAGACAGAAAACCGAATAAGTGAAATTGAAGCCAGCGGTTACCAGGCCAGATACGCCCACATTTTGCACGAGATGGATAGAGAACAAGCTAAAACTCAGGGACCATAATCCAGGGAGTTTTGGTCTGACATACGCGAATATCGAACGGGACTGAGATATTTGGGATATAAAGATATATTTTAAGTTCCATCAAAATCGGATAAAAATTGTGACTTCTAGAGGGGCCACAAGCTTTGTATTACATACTTTTACACTCAATCATCATTATAGTGTAAAGGTGATATATTCAAACGGTTTTTCAAATCGGATAAAAATTGTGACATCTAGAGGGACCATAAGCTAAAACGCGATCTTCCTACAATCAAGGGCCATAATTCAGAAAGTTACGATCCGATATGATGCGCAAATATCGAGATGAACCGAGATCTTTGGGATATAAACATGTATTTCAAGTTTCATCAAAATCAGATGAACATTGTGACATCTAGAGTGTCCACAAACGAAAAAGATGGTTTTTCGAACAATCAGGGGCCGTAATCCATGAAGATATTGTCCGATACAGGACAGACGGGGTCTCTCGCACACAAACATGCAAACCGCATTATTAAGTTTAGAACAACCTGTGCCAGGAAATGCAGTTGAATCCCAAGATAGCAAGTTAGATTCTTAAGATCATTTATAATTCATATGAACACACATTTCACCAACATAATGTTTTAAGATCATATATATTTTATAAAAACACATTTCACCAACATAATGTTTTAAGTCAATATATATTTTATAAAAACACATTTCACTAACATAATGTTTTAAGTCAATATATATTTTATAAAAACACATTTCACCAACATAATGTTTTAAGATCATATATAATTTATATGAACACACATTGTCACCAAAATGATGTCTTAAACGCACTGACCAAACACACGTGTGGCAGTTTAAGAAAGTTGTACTTTTTATTTAATAATTGAATCTACAGACTGTTTCAATTTGTGTCTGTCCACGTATAAGCTTTGCTCCCCCAACTGTCCGGGATCTGATGAGATTTTAACTTGGGTCTCAATAAGTACTTTATTCTCTGAAATAGAATACGTATACCATATCTTAAAGTTCATGGCTAAATTCAGTTATTTATAGGCTGAAGATGGTGGATATCTAAGGTAAGAAATATTTATGATGTGAACCACGCTACATTTTTGTCACATGACCGCAAGTTGGTTAAAAATAACGCGAATTTAATCGCATTTGCTTGCTACCTTGTGAGATGCTCAAAATATTTGGTAAAGCTCTATTTTATGAAATATTTTCAATTTTGTCTGATTATGTCTGGCTAAGTGGGTAAGACGCTGGCTCGCTAGCCAGGAGGTCGGGTAAGGATCCCTTGGCAGTTGGAATTTGATATAAGAGTAGGAATAATACTGCTGACCGGGCAAACTTTCCCTCATAGTAAACTGTATGGCGCATGCCCGTCTTCATTAGCCCGGTAGGGTTGTTAAACCCCATTTCATTTTATTTTAGTTTTGATTATGTTGATTTATATCAGTTTTAATTAAAAAACAAAAACATTTACACAGGCCACTGAAGAACAAATTTAAGACTCTGCTTTCAATAATTTTTTGCCCGAAATTGTCGGAAAACTCTAGAGCTAAGACGAGCCCACATCTTGTATCTATTCCAAAGAACAAATTGTCTTTTTAACGAAAATCGAGCTAGCTTCACACTGCCGAGTTGAAGACTAATATAACTAGCTACTTTAAACAAAAGTTCGTTGAAATATTTTAGGTTATGGCAAAAATGTTAAAATATGCTCTGTAAAGACGAATCTGGCTTGCATCCATGACCCGAAGCAATTTAATTTTTATAGAAATGGAATGAAATGGGGTTTAACGTCCTACTGTTTAACGTCCTGCTTCAACTGGGCTAATGAAGACGGGTATACGCCATACAGTGTGCTATGAGGGAAATTTTGCCCGGACAGTGGCACTACGGCTTACTCTTACATCGAATTCCAACTGTCAAGGGATCTTTTACGTGCACGCCAATGTGTACACGGGACCTCGGTGTTTCGTCCCATCCGAACGATTAGACAGCTCTCAGGCCCTCCGTTCTGCAGCACTGACAACGGGAAACCACGCCGGAAAATCTGGATGACCTTTCTCGGCCAATGCAGGGATCGAACACCCGACCTCCAGGCTAGCGAGTCAGCGTCTTACCCACGTTGCCACCGTGATCCCCCTAATTTTTATAGATTCATATCAGGTCGAATTGGGCAATATATATTTTAAATGTATCGGAAATCCATAATGAGTGAATGAACCGAAGTTATAAGATGTCCATACCTGTAATATGGTAGTTCCATGTCTGGAATCCAACTTTAACAGACTGTAAACCATAACACAAGGTATTACCATTAGTACCATAACAGATAGACAGATACCCAAAACGTTACCCCATGGCGGATAAACATACGTCTTGTCATAAACTAATGGTTCAAACGTCACCAATTGATAGGTAAGGAAAATCTATAATTACAAACAATCAATACTAAAATGGAGAGAGAGAAAGAGAGAGGTTACACAAACAAGGTAATTTCGGGACTAACATATGGTTCAATTTTATTTCAATAATTCGCCTGCGCGTAGGGTCTTAAACAGTGGGAACCGGAAGACCTGGAGAAAACCCACGAGGTTGACCACTCCAGTTGACTTGATGACAAACCTTATAATACAGTGCGCACGCGCTAACCATTCGGCCATCCAACCCCCTGAAAGGAACAGAAACTCCATATAACTACTGAACAATAAACAAATCCAAACATCTAAGCCGCAGTGAATCCACATGGGTGACTATAAAATAAAATTTAGACTATTAAATACGATGGACCCTAAGTATCATTTGAAAGAATAAAATGATTTCAATTTCAAGGTTGTGGAATTTCCAGACGACCCTTGATAAAGGAGTAGTTGTCTTCTCTTGATAAAGGAATAGTTGTCTTCTCTTGATATAACTTACTAATAAGGTCAAAGGGGTGATGACAATCCAACATAGTTTAATCCACATGTTAATTCTAAAACCCATCATTAGTTCCAGATTATCGTAGAATCTGTCAGCACCTGAAATCATCAACATAAGGTTGTTTTTTAAATGGGGAGTTGGGAAGTTGTCGAGTGGGGTAGGAGGTGTGGCGGGGATCAAATCTTTCCCATAGTATGCCTTTCTATTTGGTGATAGATATAAGTAAACCAATCTGCTCATGGTTACAACGGCTAAATCTATTTGTTAAGGCTAGCTCAATTTTTGCCATGGTCGCTGAGATGTAAAGGTTAGGGCACGTGATTGTTGGCGAGCTTGTAGGTTAGGGTTAGAGTAAGCGCTGGGGCTAGGTCCAGGGTTAGGTTTAGGGATGGAATTAGCGCTAGCCCTGTTTACATCTCGTGACCTATGGCGAAAAATTGAGCTGGCCTTATCATTTAGCACTAATCCGGTTACATCCTACGCGTTGTATATTTCAAATCAAATGCTCACGCACGGTATATGGTTGGTGAGCAATCGTTACTAAGCAACTGCATATCTAATTAATAATAATCAATCTGCTAGTATATAATTGATTAATTACCTCCCTTGATACAGCCATTATTAATTAGAATATGTTTAAAATATCAGCCGGAAATTATGCAATAGATATATACTGGACATTTTTCAACTTGGATTTAGACCATTATATTTTTCAGTGAATGCGAAGTTGAATTTTATTTATTTTGAAAAAAAAAATAATTATGTCAAATTTTTTTTCCAATGGGTATCCATAGGCCCTCGGAGTACGCCCGACGGTCCAAGGCCAAGTTTGCTCCTGACAACACGGAAAGTAAAGTAAATATTTTCTGACATCTTGATTTGTAAATTATATAAACTCATGGTAATAAAAACATACCGTATATCCAACCAATACCAATAACTTCCATAAAACATATTAACCACATCAAAATACCACCAAATAAATAATAATCTACCAGTTGAAATACGTACATTCCACCCTGAAAATAAAGTTGAATATAAATAAAACAGTAGGGATATAGTTAATGCTAAATGATAAAGCCAGCTCAATGCTCCGTCATAGGCCACGGGATATAAACAGGGCAAACTCTAATCCCCACCCCGTCCTCAAATTCTTAAAGCTCACCAACAATCACGTGCCCTAACCTTATTTACATCTTAGCGACTTTGACAAAAATTGAGCTGGCCTTAACAAATAGATTTAGCCGTAGGGCTATCCTTCAGCGGAGTATCCTGCGAGCCTACTGTAGAATATATTTAAAGGTCAATACACTGAATTGAAATAAAATAACCCTCAATTATAGAGAGAGAGGTCATTTCGGGACTAACTTATGGTTCAGTTTTATTTCAATAATTCGCTTGCGCGTAGGGGTCTTTAGCAGTAGAAGGAAACCGGAGGACCCGGGGAAAACCCACGAGGTTGGAGAGGCTGCTCTTTTTTTGAGTCAGGGTGTTGATATCTTTTTTGTAATTATTAAGTTATATTTCTATACTTATTATCAACATTACAATATTCCCGAGTATAGAAGTTATCAACATTACAATATACCTGAGTATAGAGAGAGAGAGAGAGAGAGAGAGAGAAATGTGGTTTAACGTCAATTCGACACAAACCAGGTCATTTCGGGACTAACATATGGTTTAATTTTATTTACATAATTCGCTTGCGCGTAGGGGTCTTTAGCAGTGGGAGGAAACCGGAGGACCCGGAGAAAACCCACGAGGTTGGACAGGCGACCCTACGCCTTGCTACGTACAACCGGGGATTCGAAACCACGCCAGTCGACTCAATGACAGACTTTATGATACAGCGCGCGCACGCTAACCATTCAGTAATCCACCCCCCTCCCCCTGAGTATAGAGGTTATCAACATTACAATTTACATGAGTATAGAAGTTATCAACTTTACAATATACCTGAGTATAGAAGTTATCAACATTACAATTTACATGAGTATAGAAGTTATCAACTTTACAATATACCTGAGTATAGAAGTTATCAACATTACAATTTACATGAGTATAGAAGTTATCAACTTTACAATATACCTGAGTATAGAAGTTATCAACATTACAATTTACATGAGTATAGAAGTTATCAACTTTACAATATACCTGAGTATAGAAGTTATACACATTACAATATACATGAGTATAGAAGTTATCAACTTTACAATATACCTGAGTATAGAAGTTATACACATTACAATATACCTGAGTTATCATGGGTAAACCAATTATAAATGTAGCTAAACAGGTTAAAATCATCATGGCTTCTCTTTTCCTAGCAAGGCTGGTATAAACATCCATAACTGAACAAGCAAATCCTTCTAATATAAGAATCTGAAATAAAGAAATATATTATAGCAAATTACTTTTTAAACAAAGTAATATTTTTACCAGAACGACACACAGAAAGAAAAAATAACACAAAAAAATCATATTTGTAGCACATTTGAGTCGTGTTATTCTGAAGAACAGTAATTTAGACATAAATATCGCCTAAAGGATTACTGCTAAACGGAGAAATCAAAGTTTAAATATTGTCCTGCCTATGTGTGGGGGATTAAACATAGATAATGCAAGAGCTAAATCGGCCCAATGCAGGTCTTTTTTAGGCCCGAAATGTTATATAAACTATTAATTAGACATTATTTTCGAGACTATGGTTTTATCATACCGACTTTAGTAATGATGATCGAGGCTAGACCAAAAATTCAATCGCTAATATATCGGTTCAGCATATTTTTTTACATAATTATCTAATTTTTTACTATTATAGTGAGAACTGCCAGCTCTTCATCAAATCTCCCATAATGTCCCTTTAAATTTTGTCGTTTAGGCCTACGGGAGATCAAATTGTGGTGGGTGGGGGAGGGGTAATATATATATTTCTAGGTAGCCTACAATGATATAAAAATTTACAGTAGAATCTATACCAATAAATGATATGAAAACTTACAGCGGAATCTATACCAATAAATGCTAACATGAGGAAGAAAACAAAACACCACAGTTGAGGCACCGGAAGTTCAGCCAAGGCACGTGGGTAGACAATAAATACCAGCCCAGGACCTGTAATATAAAACATATTGAAATAAATTGAGTTTAAACATACATTATGCAAGAGCTAAATCAGCATATTTTAAGTCTTTATTTAGGCTTCAGGTGTCATAGAAATTATAAATTAGATCTTTATTTATACAACAAGCCCAAAATCAACTCTGTAGACCCACGGATGGCTTGGATTCGGCTTGGATTTAAACATGATTTCATTGATTGATTACATTTTTAAATGGCATCGTAAGCGGAGATTAACCGTTACGTTGACGTCATACTCCCGGAAATTATCCATAAAAGGAAGTGATGATGGAGGCTAAATGATAGGCCTAGAGCGTACGAAGCGAGGCCGCTGTTGAGCGAGGCCGCATGTCAGTCAATTTGATTGAAAGTTCGATATACGGCCTTGATATTATGTTTAATTAAAAGTCTTATTTTTTAATTTGTAGTAAAAATAAATGTGATACGAATTGAATTGCAACCCCGTCTCAAACCGAATAGGCTAACGGTACCACAGCCATTGAAAACGTTACTTGATAATCGAGATTATGTAGGTGGAGTTAACGCCTGTCAATCAAAGGATCGGTGAAGATAGAGTTGATTCCTATTTCTAGTCAAAAATTACAATGGTGATAACTTTGTTCAGAATAAAGTAATTTGACTGAAATTTTCAATATATTCTCCTTTCATTATCTTTTTTTGAACTGTTATATCAAGAATGGCTAACTTCTTATAAAAATCTCCCATAATGTATCTTTAATGTCTTACTTTTCAACACCAACCAGTAAAATGAAGACGGGCAAACGCCATGCAGTATGTTACGATGAAAATTTATCTCGGATAGCCGTGCTACGAACTGTTCTTATTTCGAATTTCAAATATCAAGATCAATGTGTGGACGGACCACGACATGTATTACATTAGATAACAAACCTTATCTCTCAACCCTCCGTGTTTAGAGATAAGTAATGGTGCTATTAACTTCAACGTAGCTATCAAAACAACGATTGATTATTGTTATTTTTAATATTTCTGCCACACCCAACTACAATTAAGCATTATAATCCTATCTGAAACGGGTACAAATCCCCTCTTTTTTAAATCAAAGCGACAGTAGGTTGCTTTTCCGACATTTTAAATTTACGTCTGTAACACATAAAGGCGGGGCCTCGTGTGCAATAGCCAATCAAATAGCCAATTGATAAATGAATGTTGTTTCAGTAGATTGGACTGCGTATGTGTCATAAGTACTAATAGTATAAAATTAACTTATTTTTAACATGGTACATACATTAATAAAGAAATTGAGTTTGCCACTTGGAACTAAAGGCATCCAATCGTAGCTAGTATTACATGTAAGCAGGGCTAGCGCTAACCCTAACCCTAACCCTAACCCTAATCCACAATCCCCGGCAACAATCACGTTCCCTAACACTGTAACATCTCGCCACCATGACGAAATCTGCAGATGGCCTTAATGTTTCTATTTGACCGTTTGGTAAGAAGTCATTCGGACCCTAAAACATGCAAGTCTATGACTGAATGGAAATGCGGGATTTAATTACCGTAGAAGGTATTTATTACCGAAACAAATCATAAATTGTACCACTGTAGATCAGGCCTTGTCGATTTTACTTGATAGAAGGGAGGTAACTCCATTAAATGATGTCAAAATTGTCTAGAAACGTCATAAAGAAGTGTCTCCCATGAAGTGTTGTTTCTGGCAGGCTTTTTTTTCTTTTATTTTCAGAACACTTTGTAAACACAGAAAGCTTTGATAAAATGTTAGTTAGAATCATTTTTACCAGTTTATGATCACGTTTCAAACAATCTTAACAAATCAAAATCATATGAGATGACATTGACAACTTTGTATGGATAACTAAACTATTCATGTGTGAACGAAAGTATTTGTCATAATTGATTGGCAGATTTTCAGTGAGATGGGTAAAGGAACAAATTTAGCAAATTTGCTATGACAACTTTCTGATAAAGTATACTAGAAACTCCCACGAACAAACGGATTTAATCTGTGCAGCAAATTGTGTGTTCATCTGAACAGTCGAACTGATTTGGGTGATTTTTCTTTGGCAAATAAATCTTTGTCATGAACGCGACGACTATGGCATATAGCTAGATTAATCAATCATGCGAGGCACCTCATCAATGACTTACCTGAAGACGCGACTTTATCTATAGGTACTTGTTGTAAGTATGACATGTGACCCAACAGAGTAAAAATAACAAAACCAGAAAATAAACTGGTAAATGAGTTGATAAAAGCTACGATAATAGTATGGCTGAAAATAGAAAATGTGGATATAGAAACTAAAGTTCAAGTTTGCAAGATAGGTTGCCAGGCAATGAAACATACGCCCACAGCAGCTAAATCCTCGGAGGATCGACAAGAGTTGTCGTATATTTTTTTTCTGTAGGTAATGGGGGCCTTTAGGCGTCTTCGTTTCACTAACTTAAATAATGCATTTCATTCAGATCGGATGATAACTTTTGGCGTTCGAGCGTTTACATGGTTCAACAAAGTGAAACAAGGGCCATAACTCGAGAAGTAATTGGCGGAAAGCGCTGAAATTTAATACGATTCTTCATCTCACTAATGTAGACAACATATATCAATGTCAAAACAATCACATGTAGTGTATTAAAAAGAATTTGTGAACGACGGGCGGACCGGCGGATGGACGGGGGCGACGGCAAAATACGATAACGAACCGATAAATGCCATGTTTCGGCGGGCACCGACAGCTAGAAACGCCAGCTTCTGTACCCATCTTTATACACAATAATAGTCGGGCAACATCTTTAAATGTATCTTTATACACAATAATAATAGTCGGACAACACTCCTTCAAATAACAGTGTGATTGACATACATGAGGCTATAAGAGACCTTGTAACTTACCTGTAACAATTGTTGTTGAATTTATTATAACTACCTAAAGCTGGTAACATATTTAAACCCACAGCATAAGAAAACAACACCTGGGAAAAGGCCGCATACCAAACCTGATGTATGATAAAGAAATAAATATAAGAAAGATGAAATGAAATCGAAGTTTAACGTCCTACTTTTCGGCACCGACAGAGCTGCTGAAGACGAGCATAGGACATCTGTGCTATCGGTGACAATTCGTACGCACAGCGGGGCTACGGCCTACTCTTATTTCGAATTCAATCCGTCAATGTGTACACGGGACCTCTGTTTTTCGGCCCATCCGAACACCAAGACACTCTCCTCGTTAGGTCCTCCGTCCCGCATCACTGACAAGGGGAAACCGTGCCGGAAAATTCCGAGGTACATTCTCGGCCAAGCCTGGGAAAGCACACGTGACCTCCTGGTTAGCGAGTCAACGGCTTTTTGTGCCGAGCCACCGCGGCTCACAGAAGAAATATAAGATACCAGACCTATGAGTCAATCAGTAAAAGTTGCCTTATGAAATTGACGATCTGCACAATGATACCCATGTAACATTATATTGACAAACCCATTCGTGTCTTTTTCAAATGTTTCTGAAAATGTGTTATGGGAGGGCGTGTGCATTTTATGCCTGACTAATTCAGGGGTGGACAACTGATATACGGTGGTTTGACGTGTGCGCGTGAAATCATAAGGTCTGTCTTTATGGCGTGGTTTCAAACCCCTACGCACAAACGAATTGTTGATACAAAATTAAACTATGTTAGTCCCGAAATGACCTAGTTAGTGTGGAGTGGACGTTAACCCATGCACGCAAATGATACAGCCGTACGCCTGTGCACGTAAATGTTTGACTCGACAAATCCTTACCTTAAATTGGGCCAATTTAGTAATGTCCGGTTTGAGGTAGAAGATGATGCCATTAACAGCTCCCTCTTTCATCGCACCCATAATAAGTAGTATAGTCAGCAGAACGTATGGTGCTGTTGCTGTTACATAGGCAATCTGAATAAGTAAATATAGTTCCATTGTTTCTTACAAAAATAATAAGAATAACTATATTAAATATTTCTATATATTACCTCATTAGCCTTTATCTTGTCCTACTTCAGAGGGGTTGGATGGCCGAGTGGTAAGCGCGTATCATAAGGTCGGTCATTGAGTCAACTGGCGTTGTTTCCATTCCTCGGTTGTACGTGACAAGGAGTGTGGTCGCCTGTCTAGCCTTGTGGGTCCCCCTCCCCCACACACACACACACTGCTAAAGACCCCTACGCGCAAGTTATTTATTGAAATAAAATTAAACCATATGTTAGTCCACTCGACACAAACTTGGACAATGACAGACCTTATGATACAACGCGCACGCGCTAACCATTTGGTCACCCAACCCCCCTAACAGAACGGGTGTGTGGGCTCTAAAAATACAATTTTCGAAAAAGAAATAAAATGTTGTTTATCGTCCTACTTTTATAAATGGCGCCAACCTGACTAATGGAGACAGGTTATATACAGAGATTGCGAGACAATGTGTGGGTACACGCTTATATTTTACCTTCGTGCGATGTGCTACGACAGGATTGTCCCTATTCGAGTCCATGATCTGGTACGTGCAGATACGATCAACACGATTGCTTCGACTGACCTTAATATATGATAGGACGTGATAGTGGGGGCCAAGCGTAACCAATTACATTTCTATAATTTTTATCATCACAAATTATCATACTTACTTTTGAAATCCATTTGATTCCTTTCCAGGTACAGAAATAAACAACAATATAAATAGCTAATAAACAGAGTAATAACTTCCACACAATAACACCCGGTTCATCTAAACCTTCCGTTATCTCTAACACATAATGCCTGGAAGACAATAAAACATTATTAGACTTTCAGAGTAATAACCCCCGTTTCATCTAAACCTTCCGTTATCTCTAACACATAATGCCTGGAAGACAATAAAATATTATTAGACTTTCAGAGTAATAACCCCCGTTTCATCTAAACCTTCGGTTATCTCTAACACATAATGCCTGTATATAAAAGATAATAAAAAAAACAGTGAACGTATAAATTCCCAGTTGCACAATGACGTGCATGCTTTTGTATCAAATTATATATGATATACATATTTGGTGATACATGTATACATATTTTATTTTTTTATTTTTTTTTTTTTTTTGAGGTGGGTCTAATGTCTCTACTCTCTACCAATCTTCTTAGCTTGAGCAGAAAATTCTCTTCATGGAGCTCCATCAAGACATTCACATAACAAACATCTACTCACAGTTTAAATATTCTACCTTAATTAACAGAAGTCATGGTGTTATTACGTCTCAAAATTTGTGATGGACTGACAGACACACAGACAAATTGATTTTATTAGTCTCATCCTTTATTCGATAATGCCCTTGTTTCACGTGGACAACGATTTCAACGAATCGTCCCGAATCCAACCTTTTTCCGATTCGTAGACTGTTCTTGAAGTTTCTTATTTGGTGCTTACACATTCGTATTATTCGTAGCAGTTCGCATTTTATTCGTCGGATTTTTACTGGATTTGAATCCGATCTGCTGCTCATTGATGATTAAATCCAAAAATGGGTAATCCAGACTATGTTTATTTTATCCTACCGACTTTAGTAGTATTGATGATCGGGGCTAGGCCTAAAATTCAATTGCTTATATCTCGGTTCAGAGTGGAGTAATTTGACTGCAATTTTCAGCATATCACCTTTACATATCTAGCATTTAACTATTATAGCGAGAAATGTCAGCTCTTTACATATCTAGCATTTAACTATTATAGCGAGAAATGGCAGCTCTTTATCTAATCTCCCACAATGCCCCATTGATAGGTTTTTCTCCACTGACTTACCTCCAGAATTCAACAGAAGGATCTATTCTATTTACAGTTGGATTTAGACCAGTAACGTTGGTCATATTTAAAGTTAGGTTTACACCAGTAACGTTGGTTATATTAGTATCTGATAGATAAGTCCAGTTATAAGATGTGCTGTTATCAGTAATTCTGTCACCATTATCAGAACTTCCGGCAAAACAACTGAAACAAAACGAAGTACCTAAACAAAACATGGTGACTAGGCTAAGCTATTGTAAAACAATACAAACTCTTACTAGGGGTCTAGAAAGATTACGGACGCCATGCGAGTTATCATAATTTAAATAAATCTTTAAAAGAATTCAAGACCAAGAACTTCCTAAAGTGTTTCTATGATTGGAAGCTTTTCATTAACCCAATTTGCCCGTTCGTTTATCTCATTCAAGCGTGCATCTTCTTGGGAATTAAATTCGACAAACTAATAACACACTGGCATTTGGACACGTTTCAAAGTATTTGGCATTATTCATTCTAGTTTCGGGGGGGGGGGGGTCTTTTACACAAATTTGGTCTTACGTTTAGAAACTTTCATTGTTTTGAGAAAACATTTGTTTGTTGTAGCGAAATTCCAACCGGAGGGAATGGTTAACGTCGGGTTTGCCAAGGCCTCATATCACTACCGTGTGTGTGTGAGAGAGAGAGAGAGAAATGGGGTTTAACGTCCACTCGATACAAACTAGGTCATTTCGGGACTAACATATGGTTCAATTTTATTTCAATAATTCGCTTGCACGTAGGGGTCTTTAGCAGTCGGAGGAATTCAGAGGAATCCGGAGGACTCGGAGAAAACCCACGGGGTTGGACAGGCGACAGTACACCATTGTCACGTACACCCAGGGAATCAAAACCACGCCAACTGACTCAATGACAGACGTTAAATTACAACACGAACATACTAACCATGCGGCCATCCAATCCCCCACCATAGAAAAACAAACATCAACCCCTCTCACTACCCTGTAATCATATCTAATAAAATAGAACTAAAGGTATATAAAAGTACTTACTTGACCGTGTTCCATGTATTATTACAATTACTCCATGGTAACGGATCGGAAAACGTTGATACGAGGTATAATAATACCCAGGTAAATATGATGACGTAATACGCTAATTCCAAAAAAGCAAATATGGAGGTACATACAGCAACACCTGAAAAAGAAGATATATCAAACCAACGTCACTCGGCAATAGGTGGCGTCGTCTACTTCCATATTTGTATTGAATCTGTAACCGATGAAAGCTCGTTAACAAATCCGTTATCAGAAATCAATGATTCTGACAATGACAACATAAGAAATCCCCAAGGAAATTATGCCCGGGCAGCGGCACTAGGACCTACTTTTTTTTATCGAATTCCAACTACCAACGGACATTTTACGTGCACGCCAATGTATACACTGGGCCTCGGTTTTTCGCCCCATCCGAACGACTAGACAGCTGTCCTCATCAGGACCTCCGTCCTGAACCACTGACAAGGGGAGGTAAAAGAATGAAGATTTATAATATGAAGTATCCCATTTTAAGATTATTTGTCGGTAATTCGGTAATTTTCAGTCACCGACAAATAAATGTTGGTTTGTGGTAAATTATACATTGCATGTGTAAACGCGTAAATAAAGATCGACAAACAGTCGGCGTGAAATAAATCATTGATGTGTACATCCCTTTATACTCTGTGTATGGTACTTTATCGGACTTGTGTCTAGTCCTTTGGATGGTACGAACAACCGAGGTCCCGTAGGACGTTAAACCCCATTTCATACCATCCCTTATCGGACTCAGGTCAAGAAAATCCATTAAACGAAACGAATTAAAGATACGATATCATTTAGTTTTTCATGTGATATATTACCTTTCATTAAGGGACAGATATTCCACATTCCAATTCCACCTTGTTGCATAAACTGACCTAATGATACTTCCAGGAATTTAATTGGAAATCCAACGGTAACCACAGCGATCAAGTATGGTATTAGAAAGGCGCCTGAAAGGTCAAAAGTTAAATACATATCTTACTCTGATAATTCAAAGCTGATATATCCACTTGAATGTGTTTAGATAAAGAGCTGGCCGTTCTTGGTATAACAGTTCAAAAACAGATAAGGCAAAATGAATATATTGAAAAATCATTCAAATTACTTCAATCTGAACGAAGTTATCACTGTTTGGAATTTTCACAAGATGTAGCATTGATTGTTTATTATTGTTATTCGGGACTTTGCCTAACTTCTCCATTTTTATTTTAAATCGTGAAACGCCCGAAGCGTTCTAATCTACTTAAACCCGGAGCCATCCATTTGCCTAGACAGTTGTTTAAATATAAAAGTTTATAACATTTGAAGCAATAATAAAAACCTGCTATAGGCGGATTTAACTCTTACATAATAAATCTTTAATAATAATAATAATAATAATAATAACAACATGTCTTCTATTTGCACCTTACGGTTATGTAATTTAATAACAAAAACTTACCCCCGCCGTTTTTGTAGCAGAGATATGGAAATCTCCAGACATTTCCAAAGCCTACAGCTGCTCCTACACACGATATAACAAAATCAAATCTGTTAGACCATGTATCCCGTTTAGGTTGGTCTTCTTTCCTTTTGGTATTTGCAACCACAAACACATGAACCCCCTTTATATTTACACGCTTCTCTACATCTTCTACTTCAGTCATTTTGACATAGTCCTGTATAATATAAAATTAGATTTTTGAATTCTTGTATTGAAAGAGCTAAGTCTCAAACTCTATATTTTGCATTATTCGAATAAAAAACACGAATTAGAAATCAATATTGATCAATTTCAATTCATTTTGTAATGAAAAACTAAAAACATATCCTACAACGCAATGTGGAAGTAATTGGTAAAGGCTGATCCACAAACGACAAAATAGTAATGCACTTAGCAGGCGTGGTTTCCCCTTGTCAGTGGCACATGGCAGAGGGCCTGACAAGAACAGCTGTCTAGTCGTTCGGATGGGACGAAAAACCGAGATCCCGTGTATTCATTGGCGTGCACGTAAAAAATCCCCTGGCAGTTGGAATGCGATATAAGAGTAGGCCATATAACCGCTGCCCGGGCAAAATTTCCCCCATAGCACACTGTATGGCGTATGCCCGTCTTCAATAGCTCAGTATAGGAGCAGAACAGTAGGACGTTAATCCCATTTCATTTCATTTCTATCGCGTTCACAAGTCAATTGTTGACTTGACGAACGGCCCGACGGTCAGTGTAACGACATAATATGCCTACACGGAAATGTGAGCATATAACAAAAAAAGACACACGTCCCAACTTAGCAATAACTACTGAGATGCATCTTGTACTGGGCATCTGGATACGGAATAAAGTTTTGTCAGATATACGCCAGATATGGTATTTCACTATGAATTAAAATAACATAATATATTTGTTTCGATCAAAGTTTAATTGGACGCGGTGTTTTAATTTGTTTTGGCACCTTTCATTTAAAGCGAGAATTTCATATTTTCTAAGACAGTCAAAACATAATTATTTCTATGTCTTTTGCTCAATTTTATTGACGTAATACACGACATTCCCCCCACCCCACCTGGATATCTCCCCCGCCGGACATCTGCCCCCGGATACCCCCCCCCCCCTTTTAGGACTTTTACCCCCCCAGGACATTTCCTCCTGAACACATCTTCCCTCCTAGGACATCTACCCCCGGACTTTTACTCACCGGACATTTGCCCCCCAGGACATCTGCCCCCCTGGGACATCTACCCCCAGAGTTTCCCCCCTCCCCCCCCCCCACATTTTTCCTCTGGAACATCTGCCCCCTAGGACATCTCTGCCATCCCCCCCACCCTTTAGAACCCTGGACGTTACGCGATACTTCAAGAAACAATGTAAAATAAATATAAATTGTTTACAGTGCATTATTTTACAGGTCAATAGTACAGAGTTAGATAGTAGAATGTGTCCATCGCCCCATTCCTAGCGTGTCCTAGAAGGCGAGTCTTGGGGAGAGGGTCGGGTGGCCGATAGGCTACGCCTTGGTCTGCCATCAATGGTGTCGAGGGTTCGAGTCCCATTCTCTGCTATCTTAGTGACAAGGTGTGGAAGCAGCCTATCCGATGACTTAGGAATACTCCCAAAACATAAGCAGATTATCGGCGATAACACGTAGATTGACATGATTTATGGTGTCGACGTGCTATAAACAACATTCACTCATTCATTTATTTAGGTCAATACTGCTTTTTTTTTTATCAGAGCTGAGTATAAACGCAATACTCCTCTGTTAATTCTACGGAAGCGTAATAGGGCCATTAATTTATTCTTTTCTAAATTTTAAAGCCTGTAAGTCAATAACTTGAAAATTTCGGGTAGTAAAAGGCCATACAAGAAAGATAATACGCCAACACAGCAGCCTTGACACAAATATAGGCTACCAGAAATGTAACGGATATGTAACGGATAAAAGTAACTAGTAACTTCAACTTAGTATCTTGAAAATTCAAGTTAGTATCTTGAAAATTCAAGTTAGTATCTTGAAAATTCAAGTTAGTATCTTGAAAATTCAAGTTAGTATCTTGAAAATTCAAGTTAGTATCTTGAAAAATTGAAAATAGAATAATAAAAAAAAATATGTGGCTCTATTACGCTTCCGTACAATAGTGAATTATAGGATTAATATGATTATTCTTGAACAAGGTAGGACTGTTTATGGATACCATCTATTTTAGGGCTTTATTTTAATACATTTTAAAAATATAACTTAAAAATATGAAATTATCGCTTTAAGGTCAATATGTACCAAAAGGCCAATAATTACTTTTTACGTAGTAATTATAACGCCCGAAACGTATCAGATATTCAGGATTTAAAACTATAAAGATAGCGGCATGATATGAATGGAAAGTAATGTGGACCTGGTTTGACGATTTTAATCATTTTTGGACCGATATGTGTTTTAGGTATTTTCACTGTATACTGGAATATTGTGCCTTCGGGGGTTCATTTTGAAATAATTATGTTGTTCAGCAGTCGCTAGCTTGAAACATGCGCTTTAGATCATTAGGCCTGTCATTGCAGGGGCGGATCCAGGAATTTTTGCAGGAGGGGGTTTGCCAGGTTCCTGAGACAATGCATCTCCCGCCCCCCTCCCGCATGGTCTCTATCGTCATTTTGGCGTATATACACATACATTGCGTTTTTTAAACAGAGAAATTCAAAACCTCGTTTGACGTCAATTTTTATTATGAATTAATACAATGACATTGTCATTCAATTTCTTGGAGGCAAAGCATTAATTGTGATATCACATAATGTCTATATCATTATCTCGTGCTTTGAGTACCCATCCTGTCCCACATCTGACGATAAAGGATAATGCACACGGCCGAGAAAAATTTCTCATAAAAAGTGTTGATTTACATTGTGTCGAGTGGCCAAGTTTCGACCCCAGGCGTGTACGTGATAAGAGGTGGGGTCGCCACTACCCAACTTCGTGGGTTTTCTCTGGATCTTCCGGTTTCCTCCTATTGAATTATTGAAATAAATTTCTACATGTTAGTTTCTATATGACCTAGTTTGTGCCGAGTGGACGTTAAACCCTATTTCTCTTTAAAACATAGGGGGGTTGGATGGCCGAATGGTTAGCACGTGCGTGCTGTATCATAGGGCCTGTCATTGAGTCAACTGGCGAGGTTTCGAATCCATCCTCGGTTGTACGTGACAAGGAGTAGGGTCGCCTGTCCAACCTCGTGGGTTTTCCTCGGGTCCTCCGGTTTTCTCCCACTGCTAAAGACCCCTACGCGCAAGCGAATTATTGAAATAAAATTAAACCATATTATCTTAGTCCCGAAATGACCTAGTTTGTGTCGAGTGGACTTTAAACTCCATTTCTCTCTCTCTCTCTTTAAAACATCCAGTCTTCCGCATACTCTAAAGAAATGGTGCATTCAATCGTCTGTGCATGTCCTATCATAACAACCTAATTCAACAGTTTATTTTGATCCATTGATAAGATAAGTATTATATAGTTATCTAAAATGATCGATATATAAGTATTAATTTTAATATTTCATCAACATGATATATCGTGCAGTGTTAATTCTCCTATTGTCTATAACCTATTCTAGTGCAGGTAGTGTAGTATTTTCTTTTTTAAATGAAATAAAATTTATTTTTTTAACTTATGGAATCACGCTTACCAAGGCTATCAGTTATTGAACACAATAGTCATACTAGAATAGAAGAGACGTTTGGCAAGCGTAAATTCCTGGTCCGTATCGCGTATCGGTATCGATTTTGCGTGTGACGTCATTAATGTGTGTATATTTCTTATACATGATACGGCACACGAATACGGCAGCACGCATAAAACAGCTTTCATACGGAAAAGGTCGGTATAACGTCGTTGTCTTTTTACCGGAAATTGTAGGCTAGGCACTTGACTAGTACAAATGGTGATCTTGGTAGATAACTGCGACCATATTATAATAGAACTATAACCAGCTCAGCTACCCAGACGTACGCGGCGCGAAAATCTGAAACTATATTGACGCAACGTATCACGCATCCGTATCTTAAAAGTCTCTACTATATTTGTGATATCCTGTATCCGAGATCTCTGGGTAAGGTACATAATATAGGAGTAAATTTCAATTGTAATTGAGTGCACTATTCTGTGATAATACAAATTGGGTGTTTCTAGAACGCCAATTTCATAGTTTTGGAGGAGCTATTGAGAATGGTCAAATGTTTATGTTGTCTTAAATATTGGATATCAGAAGCCCACCTTTCCCGATAAGATCACATCAATGTTGATTTAAATTGACAAGTAATTTGTGTTTTCAATGTCGAAAATTTCTGATGATATTGAGTTATAGACTAAGTAACTTTAAAAAGTTTCGTATTCGGGGGCCTAACTTTAGAAGTAAGTGTCTCGAGGCATTGTTGCCTGTATCAACTGTTGACATTTTTGGCCTCGGTTTGACTGGTTTGATGTATTAAAACTCTTCTTGGAACACTGGGTTTGAAGAAATGGTGTGTCATAGATGGTCCTCAGTTCACAAAACATTCTCAGACTTAACTTCAGAATTTACTCAACTTCCAATCACTGTTTATGAGAAATATCTTTGATCCAGAAACACAAAACTTTGCTCATAGTTTCTTATTGGTGTATTTAATACATTAAAACAACAAAAGTTTTATAAAGGGCTATATTTTAGTTAAAATAAGGTGAACAATTTTGAGTAAATTCTGAGAAATCTACGGACAAGACACAATATGCAGAAATCACAAACAAACGTATATATCAGATGGATACCATCGCCAACGAAACGTTGTTATACAGAGATTTAAGACTGTTTTTCTCTTGTCTATGAAACTGTTTGTATGAGGGAGAGAGATAAATGGGGTTTAACGTCCACTCGACACAAACTAGGTCATTTCGGGACTAACATATGGTTAGGGGTCTTTAGCAGTGGGAGGAAACCGGAGGACCCGGAGAAAACCCACGAGGTTGGACAGGTGACCCTACTCCTTGTCACGTACAACCGGGGATTCGAAACCACGCCAGTTGACTCAATGACAGACTTTATGATACAGCGCGCGCACGCTAACCATTCAGCCATCCAACCCCACCCCCACCCCTGTTTGTATGAACTGTCCTTGACTTCATGTTGGATCTAGATATGACATTCCACAAGGTTC